CTATCCAAACATTTGACTTTTCGCTTCCAAAGTTCCGAGTTCCTCATTAATCGTCTTGAAGTACATGTGTGGTTGAAGGGGAGTTGTGAAAGACAGCAATATCCGTGCTCGTACTTTCCGTTGCATGGATGCTTGGCTCACTCGCGCTGGTAGCTATCGTAGACATTGTTCAGCTATCGCGATACTGACGCACAAACTCATGCAGTTGCACAAGAGAATCGTGTCCAACTTTCTGCATGTACGCAGAACTCTTGTCTCCCGAGATGGAGACGTGAACGAGCTTTCTTGCTATCCAGCATAGCTCGCTATTGTACCGGATCATGCCTGCTTTTTCGAAAACGGCGGGCTCCATGCGACCCCTGATCGTGTCCCACATGACTTCCCACCTGGAAACGGCACGCAATAGGGCTGGTGCGCACGCAGGTAAGACGCCCATGAGATTGGCCGATGCCAACATACCGTTAAGTGCTACTGTCATCAGATCCGTCCACTTCTTGCGTATGCTTGAATCCAAACGAGGCAAAGGGGCCGAACATACCGAAAATTAACAATTGTAGGTCGGATCCGCTGATATCTTGGAACGGGAAGCTCCCCATGCCGACCCAGTTCTCAGCCATCAGCGCGTCGGTGCATTGTTTGACGGAACAAATCCGCCTAGAACCGTCGGCCCCGAGAGCGTTGGCCGCTTCATAGTACTCCGCCGCGTCTTTAGCATCCCAAAGTTCCAAGGGGCTTGGCAGATCACAAGTCAACTCTGCAGGCGTCATCGATGGCGGCGTATTGAACATGCCGCATTGCTGCCAGTCTCCTAACGCTGTCCAAATGGCTAGTCTGCGCACCTGTCAGCAACGATGTGTCTACTGAGGGGGAAGAAAAGGCTAACCTGATTCTTGACTCATTGCGCACGAATTCTTCATATTGGAATATGGGAGCATGTTTGGTCTGTGCTAGACCGAGAACCCGTACGGCCGATACAAGCTGCGGGAGTCGCTGGGTTCTATTCTTCCGCCGCGATGCTACGTCGTTTCGGAAGAACTGAACAGAGTGGATCATGAGGGCTGCCTGTAGTGTCTCTTCAAGCTCATGGGTGAACTCTGGCGCTGAGCCTGGGGGCATCAGACGCTCAAGGCAGCGAAAAATGTATTCCTCGGCAAGCGTGAGATAGCCACGGGCTGCGAGGGCATCGTCGCTTGGGGGTGATCTCAGAGACCCAGAGAGTCCAACGGCCAAGAGCAGCTGTTTGGTTGTATAGTCACTGCCAAAGTCTGGCCGATGAACGATAGGAAAGTCGAGGTGACTGACTCGGAAGTAGGTCGCAGCAAATTGGCACAGATTGCCTGCCGAGAACACCGAGTTTGCCGTGTCAAGATCAAAGGTGCCGTCATACCATTGATTTGTGGCAACCAGAGTGTGATGAAGTTCTTGCAATCCCGAGATTATTTCGGCTGATCGCGGTTCTAGGCTTTCAGGCACAAGAAACGACATCCTAGTGTTGGATAGTATGTTTTCTGACAAGACGTCCAAGGAATTGAAGTCTATCAGCTCGGGAGCGAATGTTGATGCAAACCCATAAGGGAGGAACGTGAAGTCATCATCGATCAGCATGTTTGGAGGGTATTGCGTGGGCACATGCATGTCCTTCATTGTTGTATCGATTCCATCGCCCTCGGTTCTCGCAGCTGCTTCACTGGCGAGGAACTCGAGTATGTTCTCCGAGTTGGGATTTGTCAGACCGAGAAGGAAAGCGACTGTGATTTTGGTGCGGTCCTTGTCATTATCAGGTGTGCCTACCGCGGTTGTGGCCAATGATGAGGATGGTGTGGATGAGGATGCATCTGTGATCACGGATGTGCTCTCTTCCAACCGGTGATATGTGCATTGGAGCTTGCGAGAGACGCATCGCACGCAGGGATCAGAAGTATCGCATGACTGCTTGCTGTGAAAGCAGGCGTCGCATGCGCGGGGTTTCTGGCCGCGCTTGAGATTTGGAACGGTTTCTTGGTCTTGTTTCTTGGGGCAGTGGATTGTGTGCTTACGGCACACATCTCTGTCAAGCTTTAGTGTGATTTCCGGCATGGATGTGCGCAAGATGATACGAACCGTCTGGCGAACGCCTTTTCGCAGTACAGGCACTTGTACCTAGCGGATTCCACGTCTGCGAGGTTGTGAGTACCGAGGTCAAAAGAAAAATCCCGAAGAAGTTAATCAAACGCTAAAATGTAGCTCGGGCTGGTTGGTATACTACGCAAAAGCTTGATTGAGATGAGGCAAGGTGAATCCTGTCACGTTGAATGCTGGAACGAACTGACAATACATTGATAACGACAACCGATAAATCCGGGCAGTCATCACTGTCAGGCGGGAAGTAGGCGAGATCGCCCGGAACAGAACAGCCTGTATGTAGTCTCAAATGGGCAAAATGTTGACACAAAAGAAGAAATATGGAAAGGATGAAAAAACGAAGAGAGGAAACAAGGAGACTGACTACCTACGTGTGGATTCGTGCCGGCGTAGATGAGCACTTCTTTGATACTGCTTCCCGCAAATAGCACATGTATGGCCACCGGTTGAAGGAGCGGCCATGGCGGGTCCGGCTGTCTACCGGCGGCGTAGTTGAAGAATCCCAGTAGTGATAGCGGCGGGCTATTCGAATTGGGCTTAGGATTCTCAGTAATCAGGTCGCGTTGGTTGGCAGTGGGCTTGGATGAACGACAGAGAATGTGAAGATGGTGGGTTTAAGCCGATGAACGCGTTCGGAATGACGCGGGATGGCAGGATGGGGACCCACAAGGCCGCGACAAGGGGCTTGAGGGCAGTCTGTATGTATGTATCTATGCGACCGGAGAAATCCCACCCCCGGGATCTCGGTGAGCCCCGGTTGTCCCGCCCTGAGGTCAGGTGGAATCACTATCCCGATTGGGACAGAACCCTCGCTGTCGCAGCCCCACAATCCACCTTAGTGGATCCCTTGGCGAATCACAGCGTCTTCGGTCTTGGCACAAAATAAAGGGAAAGAGGCTACTCCCCCAACTTCAATCTGCATTTCGACCTCTTCCTTCCCCAACTTCTCACCATCATCAACGTCAACTGCAGCACCCGGAAACCCCCGCAATATGAATTTCCTCCTACAACCATAGTATCATAGCCATATGTATCAAGTGAAACAAGTCACTTCATCAGTAGCACCTTTTGCACCAGGAACCTCTTTAAGATACCACACCCTGCACCCACTTTGCGGCTACCGCAATATAATGCATCGATGGGGGGTTTCCGTGATTCGAATACCGTATAAAATGACCAATCTTCTTGATGTTTGACGCATTACTCTCGGCCTCCGGTGGCCTGTTATAATGTCCGAGGCTGCGCTCTTTCTTGCAAATGATTGAATTGACCTATCTGATACCTACCTTTCTGCCTTGCTCAGCTTTCCCTCTGCTCGATGATCGATTTTGACCGACCCTATTGAGTCGTATAAGATGTCCAGCCTTTGTGAGTCCGTTCTATCTTCAATACCTCCTCGGGCTCTCAGGGTCCTCAGTCGTCAACGGCCACTTCTCACGCACACGCATGGTCTTGATACCATGGCTCACCATCTCACTAGCTGTTTTGCGGTATCATCCGCTGAGACTGGCACCTCGAGCACAAGTTTATGCCCTTCATCTTTCATCTACATCATCTATACTTGGACCTCAGCATCATCGCCATCAGAGCCATGCGAGATCACACTCTACGAAAACTAGCATCGTGCCACAGAACACTCTCCCCTTTGACAGCCAAATCATCAAACCACCATCCAACGCCGTCGAACATGTGTTGTAAGTCCATCAGAACATCATGTCTCGACACTCCCATTACTGGCTAACAGCAATAACAGAACGACCTTGGATAGCATCGTCAATTGGGCCCGCCAGGGTTCCTTCTGGCCCTTGACCTTTGGTCTAGCCTGCTGCGGTATAGAGATGATGCATGTATCCATGCCCCGCTACGACCAGGATCGTCTCGGCATCATCTTCCGCGCCTCACCTCGACAAGCTGATGTTATGATCGTTGCTGGCACGGTCACGAACAAGATGGCACCTGCTGTTCGACAATGCTACGACCAGATGCCCGACCCGAAATGGGTTATCAGCATGGGCAGCTGTGCGAATGGAGGTGGTTACTACCACTACAGCTACTCAGTCGTCAGGGGAGTGGATCGGATTGTACCCGTCGACATCTACGTGCCCGGATGCCCACCCACTGCAGAGGCTCTACTACATGGCGTGTTTCTCTTACAGGCAAAGCAGAGAAGGACGAAGATCACAAGAATGTGGTATCGGAAGTAGGCTTATCGCTAATGCCATGTCCTTTGCAGAGTAGTACATGTATACCATCCCTGTTCCTCTCTCGATCGCAACCTCCCCTTCTCTCATGTCAGCCATTGTGCTGGCTTGTTTGATCTGTCTTTCATTTGTCCTGCCTAGCAGAATCCAGAACGCATTTGATCACAGTCTGGAGCGATTCAGGTTTTCACTTCGCACAATTTCTTAGACCCAACTTGAAGCCTTGCACCTTGGCTGCGCAACATGGAACTGAGTGCCGGGCAAGATATTAGATCGTCAATCCATGATGAGGCTGACAATTATCCTCAACTAGCAACGGGAACCGAAGGCAGAGTGAGCACCCGGCCTTATATCACCCGACCTGCTGTCAGCTTACTTGCACTCTGATTGCCAAGACGCTTCGCAGGCCGTCCCCCACACTACGCGCACAACCAATTGCCCGACGTTGCACATTTTGACTCCTGTCAGCATAACGGTTTCCCCCAGCTGCCTGATTGAGCTAAGGCTAGTTCTCGTAGAGACTGCAAACTAAGCTGATTTGACTGCGCCGCTGCATTGCGTCTGGCAATGAATTCCACCTTTGCACCGAGAGGGGTTCGCGAGGCAAAAACTCTATGCCAAGAACAACGCCCATATCAGAAAGTATATTTAAATCCTCCAATATCGCATCGGGGAATAATGATCTTGGTCAATGTATTGAACGGCTTCACTGCGCCCTCGATCGTCAACATGAAGGCTCAAACCCCCAGAGCCCTGGCGATTTGGTTCTGCGTGTCGCTCGCGTGTATGGCCCTCGGAGAACCACTCCCTGATCCTACGGGAGGGTACAACGTCGGCGCTCAGCGTTTCGTCGTCCCCTTCTTGGAAGATAATGATGTCGTGTGGCCGAACGGTGTTTCGACTGAGTACCTCGTCACGCTGTACTATCCTACCGAAGACGAGAAGCCTTGCCCAAAGCCGTACCTCGAACCCGAGCTTGCCAAATTATACACCGACCTGTGGAGCTACAATATTTCTCACTTGACGTCGACGCTGAGATGGAACGCGACTTATCTGAATGAAGAGAGCGGCCCAACACTTCTTTTCGGACCTGGTGGTTGGGGTGTTCCGACGGATGGCGACTACATAATCATCTCGGAACTGATATCACATGGTAAGCTCGCGATCCCTCAATGCGTCGTTGCTCAGAACTCCAGACTAACTTTGCATGATATGAAGGATATGTCGTTGCTGCGTTTGATCACGTTTATGAGCAGCCTTTTTTGCGGTACCCCAATCGCACGGGCGTCTATGGACTGCCACCGAATTTCAGCAATTATACCCTTGCCTGGGTAGAGGACTTGCATGCCGTCAGGGTCAGACAGCAGCTGCACTTCATCGACTACTTCCCCTCACTCGTGGCAAGGCTTGAAGCTCCCTTTAGGACCACCGATTTCGGCACATTCGGGATATCGTTAGGAGGCTCTGCTGCTCTCACCGTAGCTCTCGAGAGCGATGCAGTAGCAGCCGCTATAAATGTCGACGGTGCCAACTGGGGTCGATTGAACAGCACATCCGACTTGGACCTCAAGAAACCCTCGATGATTCTAGGCTTTCAGGGCCACAACGCGAATTCGGACCGCACCTGGAACAACTACCGAGCCTGGCAGACTGGCTGGTGGCGTCTGTTCTCGGTGGATGGAAGTTTGCATCCTGACTGGTCTGACCTGGGGTTCTGGAAGACTTTCGGCACGACACGTACACAGGGGCCAATTGACGGAAGGAGAATGGTCCATATCTCAAGGACGTTCATTCGGGCCTTTTTTGACGACATCTTGCGTCATAATGACCAGCCTCTTTTGGACAGCCCTTCTGAAGACTTCACTGAAGTGCATTGGGACGAAGTTCACAATGGACCATGAATCCAGTGGGTTCTCAAACTGTACATGAAAAGATTGATAATGAATACACCCACCGAGGTTTTGCATTAGAAGACGTATCGATTGTCAGCGAAGGGCATCATAGCTCTCCAGCCTTTTGCCAGCATGATTGCGAATATCAGCATACATAGCGATTTAGCTTTGGTCTTAGGGATTGCCTTGGGAAAAGCAAACGGATGGTCTTGGGCTTATCGGAGATGTGTCGATTTCGAATTTCAATCTTGCTTGGGCAGAGATGCATATAATTCCTGCCCTCATACATTTACTATTAAGACTTAGAGAGGATTACACCCATGCCTACTGTCGTTTGGTTGATGTTGGAACAAAGACATTGTAATCCACCTTCTGGCCAATGGGTTCGTATCTCCACCTTCCAACGTACCCGTTGAAGGAGCCATTCCCACCATTTGTAGTAGCATAGACACCGAGCAAACCACCGGTTGTAGCTCCATCTCCGGCCAACAACGCGTTATTGAAGACCCAGAGCGACTGCTCAGAACCTACATGATCTGCCGAGCTTCCAAAGAACTCATTGTGAGTCTCATTCCTCGGAGAGATCCTAATCCTAATAGCTCGGCCCAACAGTTCTTGCGGAATCGGTACGATCTTTGGATCAGGAGCTGTTGAGTTGTTGATTGAACGAGCCCTGAGTTGGAAGTAAGGCTCGAGCTCGTCTCCCTTGTCAGACACAGTGGCTTGGTAAATGATACCGAGATCAACATGCTGATTAGGATTGACATAATTGGAAACTCCGACTTCGTCACCGACAGACTTTCCAAAACCTAACTCGATATCAACAGTAAAGTTGAAGAAAGTGTGTTCCTGCCGTCGAAAGACAGATGTGACACCCTCAGTGGTGACATTGAAGACAGCATCTCTTGTGAGATTAGTGCGAGAGGCAGTCATCTGAAGAGCATTCTCATGACCCTGGGGAGATACGGTGAAGTATGAGGCATTGAATGGAGCTCTCCAATAGACCCAATGCGACGGAATCGTGGACCCCGGCTTGAAATCTTCCACATCTGCTTCTCCAACAAGAGGGCCAACTCCTCGTTGAACAGAGGACTTGTTGGGCAACGGTCCGCTCATGTTTCCGCGAACTGTATCTGCGATAGGCCAGCCTCCTGCCAGCCAAGAGACTGGGAAAAGAACAGTCTCTCTGCCCATGGGATAGTTAAGACTGTTGTAAAGATCCGGTCCTCCGCGGGTAGACAAAGCAACCCCCCACCAGTTTCCAGCCGAGTCTTGAAAGAGATCAGCATGGCCAACAGTTTGAAAGTATTCCTTGGTGCCTCTATTGGAAACAAGGGGGTTATGAGGTGCCGCTTCCCAAGGTCCTTTGATGCTCTTAGATCGTGCAATAGTCGCCGAATGATTTAGTTGAGTGCCACCTTCAGCAATCAATAAGTAGTAGTATCCATCCTTCTTGTATACATGGGGGCCTTCGGCATTTGCGCCTCCAGTCCCATTCCAAAGGTCCCAAGGCTCACTGGTATTGCCGGTGGAGAGATCAAGGTAAACTGCCTTGATGGGCGTTCCGGAAGAAGCAACAATAACAGAGCCGCCATCGTCGAAGAAGATGTCTGGATCAATTGTGTCGCCTGGTGTTTCTGGCCATATCGCATCGGACCATGACAGGTCGTCAAATGGGTCCTTTGTAGTGAAGATGACAAACTTTGGTCCTCCGAGCTGGGCACTGACCCAAGTTGAGATCAAGTAGAACGTGCCATTGTTGTAACGTAAAGTGCTTGCAAACATGCCAAGGTCTTCACCTTGACTTCCGTTGCGAATCAGAGGGAACTGGGACACCCGGTTGACTGCATTGCTTGCAAGTTTCCAGTCGATAAGATCTTTGCTGGCATAGACAGGATTTCCTGGGAAGGTGATGAATGACGACGTCGTGCAGAACAAAGTCTCATTCCACTCAGGGACAAAAGCACAACTAGGATCTGAGTGCCACCCTGGAATGATTGGATTGGTGTAAGACGTATTTGCCAGAGAGCCTAGGACACCCAACGGGCATGAAACGAAGGATATGAAACGCAGAAACTGCATATTCAAGGCTGAAGAAAGCTTCCTGTCACTTTGATGGCGAAGGATTCTATGAACATGCAGCTGCCGCCTGCTTTATTTCTCAAACAGTTTGATTTCACCCCGGTCTGTGCTAAGAGCTTGAGTAACATTGATTTGCAGATTCTCTCGTTTGCCCGCCCCGCGTTCCCACTTCCCCGCCATAGTCTAAGGCGGACTTTCCGAGATGCGGATATCCCGGGCCTTCCCCGAACTTGCAGCTACGAAGAGGACAACGGTGGGGCCGAACCGAGCCGAACAAGCCCCCGTTGGCTGAATTTATCATTTCAAAGAGTATAGGGAAAAACAGACTTTTATCGGAAAAGCCTGGAAAGAACTTCAGACTGGGTTCCAGTTTAAAGAGCCTCTGGGAGATAACAAAGCTGACCTGGAGCACCTTCTTTGAACGAAATTCGCCCACATAACATTGATATAGTATTAGTGCAGGTGGTGGCGTCGGGCGCCCAACATCGCCGTCAATGATCCGCGGTTGTGAACTTTGCAGGAGGGAAAGTTGGAAAGGTGGAAAATCTAAGAAAAATAGTCTATTGAGACAGCGAGAGTATTCACTGATACTGTGTATTAATACCGTGAAAACGATATCGAGAACCGCCCGAGCCGCCAGCAAAGGCAGAACTTTGAAACAAACAAATAGTATCAGTGCGAGCGAAGTCTCCCCAGTTAGCCTCACAAATGTAGACCCTCACTCCAACGTTGAAGGACTCGGGAGATGAACTCAACAAGGGACTTGGCATACCAGTCACTTTAATTCTAAGAACATGCATCGATTGCATATGACGGGCATTGTTGCAGTATCGCCACAACTCACTATGGGTGTCATTGATATCCTACATAATTATTCTGCAGTCTTTTGGCCACTTAGTCTTGTTTATGGCATGCCATGATGGAGCTTGGCGATATGGACAAAAAGACATGCTTAAAGACAGATTCTGCGCAACATCTAAGGTTGCCTCGCGCTACACTATCAAATTGGCATAAGCTCCCCCGCTTGCCTTTGGCCTGCCAGTCTCATGATGGCTGCATCAGTCGTTGTTGTGATGCCGTATCTGCATGTGTTAACGGAAAGGGGGTTTTGATATCATCTACCTATGTAATATGTGCATCATCTTCTAGAGTCGGTAAACCTCCATATCTGAATTGGCCACGTTTAATCATAAAAGTATTAATGCTATCTCCTGCTGAGCTAGCTAGTTCATCCTGGTGACCACAGTGATGTTTCAAGCTAAGTTATCTTTAGTGACTCAAGTGACGACGGCGAGGGGAATGAGCAGGTTTGTTATGGGCCTGCGGAAACGACAATGAAGAACCGAGTCTGGACGGAATCTTTAGTAAGGTTGCCTGAGTCGGCGAGGCATAACGTGTCTCAGCTTGATGATGTGTTAGCCCACACCATCCCACCGGAGGCGATCTTCGCAGGATATTTACCGATAGGTAGGTACAGCCGGCATATGATCGACTTGGTCTGGGCTCAGTGGGTTGGACGACCAGCTTGCCGGAATTCCGACCACGCGTCAAGCCGAAAGCGGTAGGGTGATCCGTGTGTAAGCCTTAAATCCTGCTCGCCTCGTCGCTTTCATAGTATTAAGCGTTGAACAGCCGCGGCAAGTTAGTGTGCCGATGTCCTGAGACTCAAACGTCGTTAATAAGCTCTTGCTAGTGCCGGGTCTGCCCTAAATTCAACCTTCTCTAGGCATGCGCTTGGGATAGCCAAGAATAAGGCCGATGACCCGTCAGCAAGGCTTTCTACGGACAAGCTACCGGAGAGGACTTGATGGACCCCCAATGCACTTTGACTGCTACCTGTAATTTGAGCATAGATTATGCGGTGTCTGTGATGCGTGATGGTGACAGCCGCTCAGACAGTGTTCTTTGGCTGTGCCGTGCTAAAGGCAGCTCTTGGCGATGTGCTTCTTGGCAGCGCTTTTTGGACGACGAAGATCATACTGCAAATCATCTAAGGAAATGGTTTTCAGACGATGATCCATGATTGACGCAGGGGTTCCCTAGCGATCCAACCTCAAAACTGACTGTCGGACTTTATTTTCTCTCTGATCATTCGTTTCTCCATCAGGATGTTTTGTTGAATAAGTCATTAGCTAACTTTAAGCCTCCAACGGTGCTAAAACAAAGATGAAAAAGAAGCTTAAGTATTCCGGCGCTAGTCAGGAGTTTCGAGCAAATTACCGCATGTCAAGAGAGCTTAAACTTTCTTTTGTTCCACCTAGCGCGGGGAAGTGGTAGTGCGGACAAAAGGCGGAGGCCGGCCCCGCTGCCCGCGCCTGACAAGACGGGAAGAGCAAGCATCGTGGTTATAGGCTGCCGCAAGCTTCACAAGCTTTCTCCTCTTTTATGCAAGTGTATGGCCTAAAATTTACCCGCGTTTGGCTCTTGCAATGTCCGCGAAGCGAAGGCCGTTTTCAAGATGGTAAAGACATGCACGAGCTTAGATCTACCTGCAGTGACACGGTGAATGAGGCGGACAAGACAAGAGACACTTCGTTTTGCCATGTTCTTACACTATCGTAGAGTTCATACTAGTTGGATGATAATCTGATCGGTGTGTGTACTTGAGACGCAGGGGAATTCCGTAGCAGGGCTGGAGTGGTTCCAGCTTCATGCATCCTTCGTCTTGCGTGCATTCTGACTCTCTCAAATTTACCCGAAGCGGTAGTTTGCCAAGTTTGGCTCGAATATCCCATCGACTGCTGCAAGGCGACAGTACAATGGTCTCCAGCTTTTCTCCAACTTCTCCGAGATATGAATTTTTGATTTGCGGATATAGTAGAAATAAATCGGAATAACGCCTGATTAGTTCTTCCCCCGCACTCGGATGTACTGTCGCCTTGCAGCAGTCGATGGGATAATGAGAGGTTCTGAATACTTTTGTAATGATTGTGGGATAGTCTCGAAGTACGACGTATCCGTTCTAAGGACCAAGACATAGAACATACAGGTATCGTCTCTCCAGGCACTTGGTGTAAGAACCATAATCGTTCTTCCCATGTCCCTTTCTCCTTCCGTTTCCGCGTATAATCTGACCAGCCTCGCGCTAAAACAATACTTATAGTCGAGTCCGATCTATCTTGGCATCTATTGTGGAATGTGACCCGAATATTCAGCATGGTGTAAAAGGTCTTGGCATCTAGGTTCAGCCCAAAACACTTATGCGGCTAAACTTTCTTCGTTTCGACTCCACCCAAAAGCTTGTCACTTGTCAACAGTCGTTTGACTTCAGATGGTTCGCGGGCGTAATTGCTCTCGTATGCGACACAAGAAAAGCTTCCTCTGCTGCAGGGCGAAACGATCACGAAAGCATCACGACTTCGGGCAGAAGAACGTTGTCAATGTATGGTGGCTAGATCCGTCGACATCCCTCGGACGAAGCGCAAATACCTAGGAAATGGGACGATGACTCGCAACAAGCTCTTCCATTGACCGTTGAGTCCAAAACTGAGCGTATATAAGCTGCTCAAAAGCGCCATCACAAACAACATTTTTTCTTCACCATCTCCTTCTCATCTCAGTTCATCGAGCTACAGTCTTGACGGCGTCGACCCTTAATACCTTATTGAAATCATTCATTAATACTACCAAATCGCCAAGATGCGCGTCCCTCAGCTCATCCTCTCTCTCTTCCTCCTCTTCACCTTCGTTGTTGCTCTGCCCGTGCCGGCACCGGTAGACGCACTTGTTGAGCGGGCGCAAAGCGCATCTAAGAAGGGTAGCGCGGCGGGAAGAAAGAAGGAGGCCGCTGGCATCGACAAGAATATTAATATTCAAAAGCAAGAGCAAAAGGACGTCAAGAAGGTCCAAAAGGCCGAGGGCACCAAAGACTTCAAGAAGCAGTCGGGCCAGCTCAACAAGGACATCGCCAAGGGACAGAAGCAACGCGAGAAGAACCAGAAGAACGCGGATCCCAAGAACAAGCAGTTGAATGACGGCCTCAAGAAGGTATGGCAAATGTGTTTTTCATTGTCATCTCGAGCGACCTATATCTAATTGTTCGTCTCTAGGTTCAAGGTGCACAGGCCAAGGAGGCAAAGCAGGCCAAGGGCCTGAAGGGCAACAACTCTAAGCAAGACCAGGCTACTCTCAAGAAGCTCTCTGGCGAGTTCAAGGGCGGTGAGCAACAGAACAAGAAGAACAAGCAGGCCGTGAGTGTGAACGTCGACTCTTTGAGCAGAAATAAATGCTAACAGGAGATTGTAGGCGCTCAATGGAGGCAAGGGTGGCAAGAAGGGCAATAAGAGGGACGTGGAGGAAGCCGAGGAGATTGAGGTGATGGAATAGGAAATACTCTGAAGACCTTCACCGTCAAGGCATATGCCACTGTGGCCCAATGTCCTTTGACAAGTTACAATCCACGCGGAAATGGATTATACTGGAAGATAGCTGACATGGACATGTGGGGATGGATGGTACTGAGATCGGTGAACTGAGAAAGGAATCTGCCACCAGCCAGAACCATTGCTAATACGAAACATACTCTGCAGTTGCAGTTGACAACCTCGGAGAATAGTTTCATAATGTCCAAGAAAAGCCAAATTCCTAGCCTGGTTGGCGCGCAACGTTAAATGTGAACAAAAGTAGGGGAGCTTCCTCCCTTAATTCCGCAGAACCATAAAAGTGAATATGGCAGAGCATCCATCGACGATGGTAGCACGTCCCCGTTTTGGCCGTGGTTTGAATGTACGGTCCTGTAACGCACTTCTGAAAGTAGATATACGACGCAAATGTGAGCTGGCCACAGAGACCAGAAGATCTTGACGTTATTAATAGTTCGAAGCTCGGATGCTAAACTTGGAATGCCAGTACGTGTCGGCATGTATTAAGACCGATGGATACCCTAGATTCGCGGACCTTGAGGACCAGAAGACTACACAGGTTACTGATTTGACAGAAACAGCTAAGTGACTTGTACCAAGTCCATCTTTATACGGTCGGTCCGCATAACAAAGTTTTCTGAAATACACGCCATAGATGGGTCATGAAAGAAAACATCTTTGACGAACAGCTCCTCTGAATACGTTCACCAACTCTTTTACCACCAACACTTACTGCACTTCACAACATAACTAAGTTCCACACGGCATTTCATGCATCTACGGGAAGATACCTTCACAAAAAAGGCAATGGTGGGGATTGCAAAATTACCGCCGGAGGTTATCCAGCATATTTTTGATCAGCTTTCGACTGCGCCATCGTATTCGCACCTGTACTGGGTAGACGCCAGTTTCAAGAGCAAGCTGTCAGACTTGGAGGCACTCAGTCGAACATGTCGAGCTTTTCGACAGCTGGTCAGGCGAAATCTATTCAGCTACGTCTGGCTGGTGAAACCCGGACATAGCCACCTGATTTCTCTCATTAGAGGTTGGGACTCCCGCCCATATTGTACACAACATGTGCGACGTGTGTGCATTCCTATCCACGCTCCAGAGCAATCTCCTCGGCAGCAAGAGATGAGATTGTCAGATGACGAAGTTCTGTTTATTGAAGAGACACTCAGTAAAATGAGGCTTGCAGTTCACCCAAAAGGATGGAATCGTGGCGGCCATTTCAACATACTTGCCATAATGGTTCCTCTCATGGCCAAATCGTTGAGAGAACTTGAGATTGAGTACATCTTGAGTGAAAATCACCGAAACCATGATGTCTCGAACAAACTTCTCCTGATGGAAGATGACGTCTTTCCAAACTTGGAAACCCTACGCATCAAATGCACACCTCGCGTGGGACGATTTCCAATGGAGCTTGTCAAAGCTATCTCAAAGAATGCCCCAAAATTAAGATCTCTCAAGATACAGCATTTCGACGACGCATGGTTTGACGGATCGCAAACTTGGGAAAAGCTCACCGATATTTCCATCTGGTCGAGTTTAAACATGCAACCGTTCATCATGGAAATTATCTCGACGCCAAAGCACTTATGTCATTTCGGACTTGACAGATGTGTGTCGAGTGTCAGTCAGATGGTGGATATGATTGACGCGTTGGTCGAGCACAAAGAGACACTTAAAGCTCTAAGTGTCCGGTTCCCCGATCGATCGACTGGAGAAACAGCGAGTCTGCTTCTACACAAGCTCTGTAATCTGGAAACCTTCACGACGCAGTTACAGGACGCCGGCACACAGGACGAAAACATTCTACGCCAGTTCCCAAAATCTTTACGAAAGCTGCGTATCGTACGAGCACGAGACCGCCACCATAATCATTCTCCATATCGTTATTGGTTGGAGGAGCACCTTCGGAGACTCAGGAAGACGGGCAAATATCGTAATTTGCAAGTGTTTGTTTGTGATACTTGGGAGGAAAAGGAAGGAGAAGAAAAACTCGACTTTGATGGACGAGATGAGGATTCCGTCGAGAAAGGGTATTTGGGAGAGGCAGTCGACTGGCTGTACTTGATGCCGTGATAGATTCAGATCAAAGACTTGATTTCCTTTGAATCCACAGCAAGGCTTTCTTTGATACAGATATCAATGACAGCGAGTGTACTTCAGTTTTTGTACTTGGTTTTCAGTTCTTGATCTACCAATCACCCCACAGGCGTTTATGATTGAAGTTCAGGGCGATTGATACCTTTAGGATACACGATATAGTTGAGCATTCTAGTTGAGTATTTGCCAGGGCCTCGTAGTCGAACTAAGGTATCAATACATACATAGCTCGGCAATTCATCGTAAAGCCAGGCATATTGCCGCTACTTCGTGAGCCTCCAGCTGTACTTGACGTTTGTCTGATAGTGGAGCCATCAATTGAGACCTCGGAAATCTATTACTTCATTCATTTTATCATGTCTTCGAATTTCTGAACGAGATCCTGATCCAAGGTCAGTTCGATGCTCATAGGGAACGTTACATCTTGGCTTTCCCGAATGTACTTACGTTGAAGTTGCAGGTGCTCATTGTCTCAAACACGGCCTTGTTGTTGTGCAGGCTCATGCTACTGATGCGGGGTGTCCGGATACCGAAAGCCACGCAGGCCATGAATCGGGCATCGTCTTTGGCTGTGCTGTTGGCCAGAGCCTGCCTAGTCTGAAGTGCTGTGGTCTTCGGTTTACCACCTTTGGCCTTACTCGCCTCTTGTTGACATGCTTCTTTGCATACGGCCAACACCCTTCTCATGGCCTTTTCATCTAAAGGTTTGGGGGTAAATCCCGGTAACCTGACCTGCTGATGTGTTTCGCACCATGTGCAGTGGCCACATTCCTTGACTGAAGAGTGAGTCGTATCGGCAAAGTAAGTTGCAAGCCCACGAGTAAGGCAGCTTTTGCCTGTCAGCAGGTTGACCAGGTCTTGAACGCGCTGCAAATCCTGCTTCTCCTTCTTCACAATTTCCTCGTCTATGTTGTCGATGATTTCGTCAATATCGGTCTGCTGACTTGGGAGTTTCTTGCTGACGCGGAAGACCTTTTGGACACCGGTCTTACTGAGCTTGATGATGCCAGACTCGGCCCACGAGTCCAATTTCCGCGTAATATCAGCGCGACTTACTCCGCCGTTCCCAATAGGAACGTCAACATCGATATTTGTCCAGGTTTGCGCTTTTCTGGAGTGGGATAAGATGTACTTCGATGCTGGTGAGCCGTCGATCTCAAGAGCACGATGCTGCAGCACCTGATATTTGTATTCGGAGTACTGAGGAGTGCTAGCCCGGAGAAGGCCGAACTTCAATTCTAGGTAGGCGTAGATGATGGAAAGTTGGGTCTCCTGTCCACCATTAGTTGAGATGAATGCCGACTAAAGTCAAGGAAAATAGATTTGACAAACCCTAATGTCTATCCGCCGTGATTGCGACGTGATAGCCACGGAGAAGGGGTCTCCGGGCTTCAGCTGACAGTTCTCCTTGCTGCAGATCTCCTCAAACAGTGCGCGTAGAGCCAGCATGGATGGTCGTTCGCCATGGATGAAGACGTTTCTGACAAAGAAATCTTTGTCCGAAAGATAGAGCATGCACGTGCTTGGCTTGCCGTCTCGTCCAGCCCTCCCAATCTGTTGGCTATAGGCTTCAAGGCTGCCTGGAAGATCGAAATGGATGATGGTCCGCACGTTCTCCTTGTCGATACCCATGCCAAATGCAATTGTGCCAACAATCTGATAGTAGATGTCAATGTCAGAACTCTCTCCTCCGGAGGCTGTCGGACCAACTCACGATCATGTTTTGACTCTTGAGAAACGTGTCTTGTATTCCGCCCCGTACGTCTGCGTTTAGTCCTCCATGATATGCGCGAGCATTGAACTTCTTTTTAGACAGTTCATTGGCTAGAGTTTCTGCAGCCTGTTCGTATCAAGGTTAGTAAGTTCACCTTTGTGAGGTGAGTAGAAGCTTACCGCATGGGTTGTGACGTATATAATGGATGGGCCGGGGTGTTTCTTCAAGAATTTAGTGCATATCTCGACTTGGTCGTCATCTGTAGTGATAGGCTCGACCAATAATCGGAGACTAGGAGATGTGAGCATGATGCTAACTAAAAGAAGTATTGTGATTGCCTGACTGACTTGGGTCGGTACATGCTTGTCACGAAAAGACCCTCGGGCGGGATGTCGAAAGTAGTTCGAATGTCTTTCGCAACGGCTGCTGTCGCGGTCGCTGTGAGACAGATGACTCTGTCCACATTGGCTTCCTTCGCAAAACGAGCGACTAAGAGCTATCGTCAGTCAGAGCGGAAACAATGGCCGCGTTAGAAACTGACTTTTCAGGTAGTCTGGGCGGAAGGAGTGTCCCCACTGCGATTCTGTCAGATGATGGAATTCGTATTAAGTACTAGTAGGGGGTTTGTGACAATTTGAGACATACTTCTGAAATGCAATGTGCTTCATCAATCGCTAATAAGCGAATGCCACCACGGATTGACTTAAGGGACGCAAGAAAGCCCTCGTTGTTGAGCCGCTCTGGTGCGCAGTATAGGAGATCGAGTTTGCCGCACGCCAGCTTGCTGTGAACATCGACGAACTCTTCGCGACTTTGCGTCGAATCCAGAACGGCTGCAGCGATGCCTCGGCGTCTGAGGGCATCAACTTGGTCCTTCATCAGTGCTATGAGGGGAGAAATGACGACCGTGACACCACTTTCTTCTGGGCTGCGCGATACTGTTTCCTTGTCGAGCTCCTTTATAGCCACGGCGGGGACCTTTTTATATTAGACATAAGTGACTATTCTGAGCAGAGCCTCCATACCTGATAGCACAAACTCTTTCCTCCGCCAGTAGGAAATACTACAACAGCGCTGTCGCCACTGATGATGCGATTGATTGCTGCTTCCTGCTCCAGACGAAAGCTTTCCAGGCCGAATCGTTCTCGCAAGACTCTGCGGGCCAGAACCGAGTGATCGGAGGAACCTCTCTGTCGTTTCGGTCCTGGTTCTTCACTTTGATCCGTATCCTCATTAGGTCGCTTGGCTGCAGAGGGAGCAGCGTCCACTACAGCGAGCAGATCGGCTTCATCGGCCGAGTCGAAGCCGAAGTCGTCATCCATTGTCGGCGACAATGGAGGCCACGATGGAATCAGTCGTTCGTACAATTAAGGTAGTATAGACCGTGGAATCCCTTGGCGGAGGATGATTGAGGTCGGAATCGATGACGTCCCAATTGGGAAAGTACCTATGCGTGCTGGACTTGCCCGGCAATTACGATTGAAACGCGTCGACGCGTCCTCTGTAGGAGGCCGCATCGCGTGGGTCATGTGACTACCACGCAGAGACCCACCTATGTTCACTCACAATGGAATGAATCTCACCTCATGAATCTCATTTCACAACCCACTCAACGTGTCTCGATGCGCTCGCCAATACTGGTCAAAACTTGCAATAAGCGGTAAAGTTCAATAATTGTGATTCTTTGACGTTATCTTTTCATAAATATCCAGCCAAGCTGGAAACATTTGTTCCGAGGGCCTGCTGGGGCCTCGGTTCCTTGCCAAGTGTAGGATACTGTACGGGTCGGTCACCCTCACCTACGACTCATCATGGAGACAGTGAAGATAGTGGGCCTTTAAACTGTGGACCAACAGAAGAAGACTTGCCATTATGAGGGAGGGCTTCTTCCCCTTTGCATTCCGTCACGCCTCGGCCGATGTTCCCAAGGTACCTTAGTAAGTACTTGATGAAGGGCAGTGGATCTCTCGGCTCGGGAAAGGCTGCCGTGGTGTGAAGAGCCAAGCCGAACCGAGATTGCATAGGGCGACGATAGCGGACCGGGAATCTTGAGTTGCGTCCAGCAACCCAGATGAACGAACTCGATCAACCTTATGGTTCACTCTTCTCTTGATTGAAGACCAGGGGCCTGGGTGCATGTTACATTCCGATCTGAACCGACCTAAACCAGAGATGTCCTGTCGCGTCGCCGCACTCCCTCAGTCAACAGGTTCATTCTGCTTACATGGGCACGACTTGGGCCTGAGGTTATGGCCAAGAATAGCCAGGTTCCGTCAAGCACGACTCCATGGCTGGCGTCGATGTGTGAAAATACGAGCACATTGTTTGGACATTAGTCTTGCAAAGAAATGACGTGAGTCTCGCAATCTTATCCATCATTGTAAAGTACATTGTCTACTAAATCCGGCTATACCCTGTTGGAACCGTGGACCTCTCAATAACGTAGCTGAGGTACACTCGAAGTCATGGATAATGGTAAGTGACGACCTATTTCTAGGCTCTGGTCGATCTGCTCTCTCTTTCTGACATGTAAGCACGCCACCTCGGATTGAGAAGATAGACAGGCACTCCGAGTAGGAAGATGAAGCCAAAGATACCAGCCAACACACCAAAGGCAGTTTGATATCCCCATTTCTCAACCATTGGAGTCAACCCATAGGTCACACCGAACGAGACCACGTTCTTAGTTCCCACAACCACGACCAGTGCCGGCCCGGGATGTTTGGGCGCGGCTTCAGATGCGAAGCTAGTGGAAATGATAAGAACAGAGGTAAAGGAATACTGGAAGATGGTCCAGCCGATGTATGGACCCCACCATGTGTACCCTCCTGACGCGGTGTAGCCATACAGTAATAGCATTCCCACACCGATGACGGCAGGTAAAGCCAAGACGACCAGGTGGTGTTCCGGGATGTGAACGCCTCGATTCCGACGGGCGAGGTACATGACCAATGGATTGCCGACGAATGTGCAGAACAACATGCCGAGAACGGCGCCAATGACGCCGCCAACATTAATCAACCCAACATCTTCCGACTTCCACTGATAGTTCGTCACCAGAACAGTGTTGTAGGTCAGTGACATGCCAACACCGCAGCCAAGAGCAATGGAAGATGTCAACACCGCATAAATGATTCCCGGGGACGAGAATGATTCCGCCATGTGCTTCCAACTCAAGACCATTACTCGCATTGGTTGGGGATGCGGTGTCGACCAAGGTCTGATGCGCTGTAGATACGACTTTCTCTCCAGAGACTCGGCC